CCCCCCCCAGTGGTCTGTTGGTCACGTTCGTGCAAAAATTGACCTTAAAGGAAAGTCTGCCTAAATCATTCGAAATACGAAGACAGAGTTGACTATGAATCGGAGTCCTCCATCGCTGGTCAGGACCTCGATCATGACTTTAACTTCGAGAGCAAAGAGACGAATCCAGACTTTCCCTTCCTAGCTCTAAAGAAGCTCTTAAGTGACGGCAGCTTCTACTACAGCTGTGAGTTCAATCTTACTGATCGATTGCAGGACCGGTGAGTTAACCCCTTTTTTCGTCAAATGGCACCGTAACTGATGAACTCTAGCTCAGACGAAACGGGCATCTTTGACATAGAGTCTCTTGATCAAGACATGCTGTGGAATTCGTACATGATACACCCACTTCTCCTTTTTCGAAATCAACTGTCTTCGGTTGAAAAGCAGCATCTTGACTCCTCTCAAATCCTGACGTGCGTCATACGGGGATACTGTGGGACACTGACTGTTCCTGCATCTGCTCAACTCTTGCCTGGTGCCCGCAAGACGCACCTTCCGTCTTCGTTGACAATAATATCGCGCCAGTCATCTCGGCGTGCTGGTACGAGATTCAATGCACGAGGCATCGATGACGATGGTCACGTCGCCAATTTCGTGGAAACAGAGACAATACTCTGGATTCCACCTGACATTGTTTTTTCCTATGTTCAGGTTCGTGGCTCAGTGCCTATATTCTGGGAGCAGGCCACAGGATTTCTTCCCGGTCAGCAAAAGATCGAGATAACCAGATCTGTTGAGGCAACAAAGCATGCCTTCGATAAACATTTCAGATCTCTTGAACTAGATTATGGAGCAATTCATGTGGTTAACCTTCTCAGTGAATTGAAGCCCGGTGAAAATAGTCTCACGGCAAGGTTCCGGAACCACTTACAGAATAGCCCACTCAATAAGCATTCATCGGATCACACTCTGCTGCAGGTAACAGAGTTTGATTTCCATGCGGAAGCGCGAGGTCCATTGGGATATGGAGCTAGCGCTCAGATAAGGCAGGAAATCTTCCATTCTTTACAAGGATTCGCATATTTTCAATCCGGCGAAACTGGACCGGTAGCTCTATATGACAAGCACCATGCGTCAAGAAGTGCTCCTGTAATCCTCCAACAAGAGGGGGTTTTCAGAACAAATTGCCTGGATTGTCTCGACAGGACTAACCTAGTACAAACAATCATCAGTTCAATGGCGCTTGAAATCTTCTTCAGTCAACAAGGAGGAGCGATAAGCCCCGATTTGCAACTGCGCCACTCGACTCTCTGGGCGGATAATGGAGATGCGCTATCAAAAATGTACGCCGGGACCGGTGCTCTGAAAAGCTCATTCACAAGACACGGGAAAATGTCCATTGCTGGGGCACTCGCCGATGCGCGCAAAACAGCTACCCGGATCTATGTTAACAACTTCACGGACAAGGCCCGTCAAAACACAATTGATCTTCTATTGGGACGGTTGACAGACCAAGTTCCAGTACATCTTCACGACCCGGTCAATGATCTCGTGTTAGAGGAACTAAGTCAACGTTCTGAGGAATTTTCTTCCTCCAAACCTGTTACGGTTTGGACGGGAACATTTAATGTCAATGGGCGCCATGAGGGACCCGATGGTGATTTGAGGGCATGGTTATTCCCAAAGGACGATTCTCAGGCCGAGGACCCACTGATTTACGCCGTCGGTTTTCAAGAAATCGTGACGTTGAGTCCACAACAGATAATGTCCACGGACCCTACCACCCGCAAGGCGTGGGAGATTGCAGTACACACATGCCTTAACAAACGTGCAGATTCCATGGGAACTCCCAAGTATGTCCTCTTGCGAAGTGGTCAACTTGTGGGCTCTGCTTTGATGATATATGCGAGAGAAGATGCTTTGAGCGATATAAAAAATGTTGAGGGAAATGTTAAAAAGGTAGGAATCATCAGTACACTGTGAGACCATTCAGCTGACCTGCATAGACGGGCCTTTCGGGAATGGCTGGTAATAAAGGAGGCTGTGCCATCCGCTTTGAATATTCTAACACTCGACTTTGCTTCGTTACCGCCCATCTTGCTGCTGGCTTTGCGAACTACGACGAGAGGAATAGAGACTATGAGACTATTCTCCGCGGTCTGAGGTTTTTGAGGAACAGATCAATCGAGGACCATGATGCAGTCATATGGCTAGGGGACTTCAATTACCGCATTGGTCTGAGTAATCAAAAAGCGAGGGAGCTTGTGCAGCAAAAAGATTTTCAGACGCTGTACGATAATGATCAGGTTTGTACTTCTATTGCAAGGCTTGTGGAACTTCATTAACAAAGCGCAGCTGAACTTACAGATGGTGGCGGGTAGGGCTTTCCAATATTACACGGAAGGACCTATTAGCTTCCCGCCGACTTACAAATATAATATCGGCAGCAATGACTATGATAACTCGTAAGGACCCTATTGACGATATATTCGAAGGTAGCTAACCGCATATAGGGAAAAGGCGCGTATTCCCGCATGGTGTGACCGGATTCTATGGAGAGGAACCAATCTCCGACAAATAAATTATGGCTCTGCAGATCTCCGGATTTCAGATCATCGCCCAGTCTGGGCTATGTTTACATGCATAATCAATGTTGTCGATGAGGCCCGAAAGAGCAAAATCCAGCATTCCCTATACAATGAACGACAAAACAATCTGAGGCTCGGGGACATGACGACTCAGGTACAAAAAGTGGATGGTGAGTTGATAGCTTTTGAGCACATTGCTTCGGATCTTCCACCTGCTAGCTCTGAGCAATATAAATGGTGGTTAAACCATGGTATGTTAGGTCACAGAACCAATATCACATACTCATCAATTTTTGACGTTCTTCGAATACGTATACTGATCTATATGCTTAAGGCATCCCTGTAAAGTCGCAGTTAGCCCCCCCGGCCAAGGATTATGTGTTAAATATCCATCGCGACTCGAATCCCTTCTTAGGTGACGGACCTGCTAATTGGTGTCCTACCACGTTACTTGCCGAAAGCAACAGCAACACCAATGCGGGAAATCCTCAGTTGCCACCACGATCGGTTTCCAAGAAGTCTTTGTTGGGGAACAGGGACTCTTCAGCGGCAAAATGGCTCACAGATGACCAATATGTTTTCGAGCACAAGCGGAGAGACCTGGATTCTTCCAGTGTAAGCATTGAATCTCCGGAAAGAGGACCAAATACGAATACGAAAGACCTTCTTGGGGAGGCCATTAACGATGACCTAAATTGGAGGCCGCTTACACCCGAGTGACACGTCCTGTGACTTCATTTGTAGGGCTATATTAGTTAAATATCAGATTCCCGGCGCCCTTCACTGGCTTAGTTTGCATTGCATCTAGGCCCTTGTAAGGTGGCTTGAAGATTGAAAGGTCTGGTAAATAGATAGACATGTTATATAACACTCAGTCACAAGCAATACTCTATGGGTATATGTACATGTTCGTATTCGATATAAGAAACACCTGATGGTGGACTTCTAAAACAAAGACATGGATAGCAGGTTACTGCCGAAGTAGACAAGGAAAGAGAAAGGTTGGGGGGTGGAAGGAGGCATGAAGAAATTGAAGAAAAGAGGTATCATCAGCCAACCCCAGGGGCATGAGAAACCAATCCCGAATAAACGAGAGGAAAAGCCATGCCCCGTCTAAAGCAGACAAGAGTGAAGAAAGCTCGAGATTCACAACACGTGTCACACAGAGTATTACTATAGGAGACCATGACCCGGTTAGTATTTCTGAACTTTGTGATGAGTTATGGTGTAACGAATGACACGTACCCCGTGTTAATATCTCCCGAATCTGGATGCAGCTGCTTCCTCGAAAAAAGTCCAGTCCGATCGTATACACATATAGACATACGGATTTGTGATATGTGAGTACAGACTGTGAACCCGAGAAACTTCACATGACACGGCAAGAGATCCCGTGATAGACTGCTTTAGGCTTTTTTCCCGTTTTTAAAGCCTTGTTTAGGCGCAAGCGATTACCACCAACCATCCACAATGCAAGTGGGCCAGGGTCAGAGGCCTTGGTGCGTGATTTTTTGGAACCTTTGAAATGATTAGTGGGACGTATGATTTCAGAAAGAGCATGTAAATGGCGATAATCAACGATTGAATCATTGTAGCAGAAGATATAAGAGGGGGTTGGTTGGGTTTCGTACCTGCCGGCTCCGACTTCTTTTTGGGCTCTTCAAGTACAATGACAGCTTCCTCAGAGGGCGCTTCTGGAACCTCGGGAGGGGGCGGATCTTGAGGAACAGGTTCAGGTGGCGGAGCAGGTTCGGGAGTCTTTGGCTTCTCGGGTATAGGCCACATGTGCATCGTTATAGTCCAGTCGGGCTCAATGACCGTCTCCCAAACCTGGGGAAGAATTATATCACCGTTGGGTCCTATCAAGTCATAGTGACCCTCGGCAACGTGAGGTCCGATTATCTCGATGTGAAGAAAAGCTTGACGTATAAGTTCTTCCATTCCCTTGATTGATACTGTAGTCAGATATACAATCTTTCGATATATATAAGAGCATGGGGCGGAATGTGCATTACCTGCCAAGTGCAGCATAAGTCGAAAGGAAAACTGAATTTTCTTCCTAAAGCATCCTTGAACTTTATAGGCTTTTTCTTCTCTGGAGGAGGTGGACTTGCGGCTGCGGCTGCGGCTGCAGTAGCTGCGGCGACTGCCTCTGCCGCTGCTGCGTTCGCAGCCTCTGTCGCTGCTGCCGCTGCTTCTGCCGCCGCCGCCGCCGCCGCTTCTTCCGCCTCTTGCTTTGCTTTTGCGGCTTCTTCAGCAGCTTTTTGCTCGGCCTCTGCTCTAGCTCGCGCTGCAGCCTCCTCTGTGATCTTCTTTTCATAAGCAGCTCGTTCCTCTCTGGCGGCTTGATCTGCGGCCTCTTGCTCGATTGCGGCTTGTCGAGCAGCTTCCCGGGCTTCCCGGGCCTCACGTTCGGTCCTTTCTTCCATTATCAACTTCTCTAACCTTGCGATAGCCTCATCTTTCACTGTATCAACAGGGGCGGGGGCGGGCGACTCGGGCGACTCGACTTGACTCGGAGACGGCACGCGTGGATAGGGGTTGAAGTATGGAGGAATCATCCCAGGAACCATTGAATATGGTTCCCGATAAGGGTAATATCCCCCTGAGCCATAGGGAACCAGTTCGTGAGGGCTCAAAGGTGGCCCACCATAAGGAGGGGGGCCATGAGCCGACATATGAGACATTGCGCGCTGAGGTGGGTTGTTACCCTCTCCTCGGCCATGGGATGCTGTCGGAAGTTGGTGTGCATGATGACCCGGATGATGTTCGTGGACGAAGAATGGGGGTATAGGAGGGCCATGAGGTTGCTGTAACTGAGCGCCATACCCGTAAACAGGGTGAGGGTACGCCGTCTGCTGGGGGGCCTGACCATTATGGCCTAGTCTTACAAGTTGGTCTGACGGAGAGGGGAAACCAGGTGGGTGCATGAACTGCCCGTGGGGCATACCAGGTCCGGTAGGATAAACGTATGACTGCCCAGGTGACGAGCTGCGGGCGTAGCCCGGAACTTGAGGCACAGTTGACCAGTATCGTCTTTCTTGTGCTGTGTGACCATAAGGCCCTCCGTACTCATCAGCCGAGTCAGCGCTTTCAGGCGAATCTGGCGAAGGATGTCGGCGAGAACGACGGGTGTACGCGTCCCGTTCCTGAACCATATGTCGTCTTTCTGAGTGTCGGCGGCTTGTGGTTGAGGTCGGGCCACGTATCGTACTGCGAGGGCGAGGATGACGTGACGTCCGGGGCCGTGATGCTGAATCGGACGGCTTCAGTTCGTCGGGATACGTGAGATGCGCCCATTCTTCATAAGAATCATTGTATCCGTGGCTTTCAGAGTCGGAAATTGGAGATACCTGTACTCCAGAGGAGTCCTCCTCATCAGTTATGGAGGAACGGTCTGAACCGTGTGCGCTAGGACCAATGGTAATATTGAGCCTGCTGGTAAGTTAGTTGACGTGACTATCAGATGTATTTTGGGATAAGACACACGTCATGATGGATGCCAAGAAGTCCTTGATTCCGTTTCATCACCCTCACTTCTGGAAAATCAATTTTTTACAGGGTAACGCAATGAGTTAAAATCAGCGAAACGAGTGGGATACTTCAAGGTATCCGAAATGCGCCGGTGTTGATTGAACGGCGGCAATCAGACTCGAGATAAGTTGAATGTTATATATATATGTATTTCACGAGTTGGGTAATTGCAGACTAGCCTGAGTTGTATGAGAAGTCCTAACCCTTAATGGCCGAGGGGTATAAAGGTAGTATTCATTGTTTATGTCTGATAGTGGCGAGTACCATCCAAATGAGATTTCCCAAGTGTGCAATTGGATGTGGAATTTAAGGTTGAAATTTAGTGGGATCGGGTGCCCATCAGCTGCGGAGCACAGCAGGACTTCGAGTCTGAGACCAGGCAACAAAGCAAATGAAAGTGAAAAAGAGGAAGGGAGCGTCTCGCATATAGCGCAACGAGTCCGGGATGAACAGCAGGGACGCACGAAGCGGGGATGGGACGAGACAGTGACCTTGTCACGGGGGAAATATAACGAAGAATGCAGAGTTGACGGCCCGATTAGATCAACTGTTTAGGCCTACTGGTATTTCGGTAGTGGATCTTCGGGCAAGCCAGACATAAATCGAGGGCAAGTTTTTTATTTAAGATGGCGTCACGGCTATTATTAAGGTACTGTTAGGCACTGAGCTGGCAGCCCTCTCTCTCTTCAGGTGTTAGCCAGTCCGCTGCCCAAATGCCCAATCATTTCCATGTCGAATTGAGGTATTGTACTCCGTACTCGGTCTCCACTAATGATACTGGTACAGAGGACTAACAGGGTGAGTGCTACCCACCAGAATGCCAGGCGTACGTATTTGCAACAGATCCCCACTTTTTGTCTGTCTGTGTGTGTGTGTGTGTGTGTGTGTGTGTGTATGTGTCTGTCAGTAACTTCAGTGCACTTTTTGTATCTCTTAAGGCCAGGTGTGTGTATGTAACTATCATTTATATACACCTCGAAGAAGTAAAGAATCAATCATCAGGTACAGTGGTAGATAAGCAGGGGAAGTAGAATTGCATGCGTCGTCAAGTAGGTCAGTGTCGAATGGGAGGTTCGCAAAGACGCCTAGTCAACTCGAATGCCTGGTAACAACTGATTACCGTACCTGTGAGGTGTGACGGCGCGATTCGATCGGCCCTACTACACAGTACGTACTAAGTACTACTAGCTACTAAGGAGTATAGGCCCATAATTACGAATGGAAACATTCATACAAAGTACAAGATCAATATTGCCGTTTTACGCGCCCGATGGCATAAGACAAGCTCCACCAGTTTGAATCCAATACGATTTCATCGCTGTCATGCCACAGATTCTAGAAAGATCCGCTCTCTAGACACGGGATGGATTAACAAGAATAACTGCGAATAATGAACAACAACCAGGCAGTAGTGTTAAGATAGATAGGAAGGTTTATAGGCTGTATTAGACCTGATGTCAATCTATTCGCGATGTTTGTAAGCAAGATTTAGAATGCCGATCTACTACGGATCTTTACTTTGTGTGAGTACACTGAAAGCAATAACAAACAAACCAACGAAGAAATATGTATGGGAAGAAAAACGTTGACCTACATACTTGCTCGGGAGTAAATGTTTAATTATTGTGGACTCGGTAGGTAACGGATTATCATTGTAATTTTAGAGTGCTACGAGACACCTAAATTACGTGGTAGAAAGGCTATAGGGGAGATTTGTCAAGCCGGTGAAGGAGCTCCTTCGCCGCAATGAGCTCGCCTTGGTTATCCTTCCAAGCCTGATGGTCTGAAGAACGGGATCTCACAATCTCATCGAGTCTGCTTCTTGCGAAAACGGTCAGCTCATCGAGGAGCTTGTCAGTAAGAAGGCTTGCTTGAGCCGGTGAAGAGTCACGAGAGTGATCCATTAGACGTCTGTTCCTTCCCAGTAGGGACGTCGCCTGCTTCAGCGTCAGTCTTGTATTCAACACCAATCAAGGCAAAATATTAGGGGCCCTACTGAGACCAATCCGTAAAAGCCCCGCAAATAATCAGTGCAGAGTTCTACGCTGCGAGAGAAATGATGTATCGACACCTCCAAAAGCTGGGAACAATCCGTTGTTTCAGAAGCACAGGCACCCGAATACAAGATTTCGCCGAGGAACGCATGAATCTAAAGGTGGACTGAATCAGCTTTCCGCTCACTGCCCTTCCCACGGTCCTATTTTCATACATTCCAAGAATTTGGCACAATTAATAAGGCCTCCTCGAGACAGAAAGCTGCTTGTGAGCTCATCCCCTGAGAGTGGTAGAGATCTGCAAGTTCGCACCAAGCCTCCGCATCTGTTGGGACTGCGTCTAGGAGGTTGATGAGACTAGAAATGGCATCCACAGGCCTGGACAGCGAGCGAAGGAGCGCGATCCGACGCTTTAGTACGGGCTTCCTTGTAGATTAGCATCGAGTCTATTGAGTGGGAGGAAGGACGTACCAGGTTTACGGGGTTTTCGGAAAGCGCGAGGTCATATGTTTGCAAGCATTCTTCAAGACTAGTTGTGTTTTCGGCAACCGCTTCTTCATACATACCCCTCAATCCAATTATTCTCTCATCAGTCACGCCGAATCGAGCTGCTAGTTGCTCAGTACAAAGTAGCGCGGATTTGTCGTCCCCTGACTGTAGGCATGAAAACAATAGTTGCTCTACTACACCATAGTTCTCAGTCCCTCGTACCGATGAGGGTGCGACCGTTTCCACACTGGAAGACTGACGCTTAAGTATGAGAGGCGCCTTCTGTGCCAGATGGAAAGTGGTTATCAAATTCGAACCATTCGCGAGATGGGGCTCAGGAGTCGTCTGCATGATATGGAGCCAGCGATGAAGTAACTAGGACTGTATTAGAAGTACCACGACGTTCCACAGTGACTGTATCTGATCTTGTTCGTGGGAAAGAATATTTGGGTCAGGATAGAACGCGAATATCCGAGCAAATATCTGTTGATGTGCTAGCCAAAGATGGGAATGATTTGATTCGACAATGCTGCCAGGTGGTATTCATGATGTCCAACGTTATCGGTCAACCAAGGTATCACTTTCTTTATGCTGGTAGCTCCCGTGACTAGTAGTTAGGGGCATCAGTACTGTACTGCTTAGTACTTACATGGACGGTCCAACAAGCCAATGAGGTTCAAGTAACTTTGTTAGTCAGCTGCCAGTCTGCTGTATTTAAATACTACGTAGTAGTACTGTAGTTAACGTACGGTGCATACGTAGTTCGCATCTCCGTTTTAGTACTTACTATATAAAAGACATCTGTTTAAGTTTTAGATAGATCAGTAATTGTAGAAGCTTATGGTGTACGAAATACTGAACCGATATATTAGTCACTGTAGTATATCTTCAACTATTTCTAGAGTCTTTTATCTACTATTAATTGTTACTATTACAGAAGCGTAGATGTTTGAATTTTATGCTTACTATATTCTGCACAATTCAAAATTCAAAATTATATACTATTAATTATTCATAATGTACATAAAATATACACGGAGTACTTTATTTAATTACTATGACTATCTGGTGGTGGGGATAGCTTAATCAAAATATGATGTCTTTTGTATGGCGTTACATGGGTCGCTGATACGGGCAGGTACTAGCTGAGTCAATTGGAAACTACATTTCAATTGGTTGATCATCAGGTAACTAACTAACTAACCAACTTGGGCGAGGACGGACATTACCCGACTGCCTGGTATAGGTATTAGATAACTAGCTACTCCGCAGATACGCGAGTAGTAGTACTCCGTGCTCAGTACTTAAAACCGTAAAGCGTGAGCTACTTATGTGACTGCGCCTACCTCGCATGCCCAGTGTCTCATACCATAATACGTAACCCAACGTCTGCAGGTACTAATCTAGGTTCAATCCAACCGAAATTCACAAGCCTTACCAAATGTCAGTGGGGTTTGAGCGCCAGTATCAGCCCAGGCACAATGTCAGTACCCATTACTTTGATATCCTTGATGAATGCTAATCCGGTTCAAACCAGGTTTGAAAAGTCACTTTATGATCTTATAAAAGGTCTCCGGCATCACAAAGGAACAGAGGAAGAATATATACAAGACAGTTTGCGAGAATGCAAGACCGAAATCAGATCACAGGATATGGGTACGTGCGTACATTCATTCAGCTTGGCTTATATAAACTTACTCCTGGTAGATAAAAAGGCCACGGCGCTTTTGAAATTAATATACTTGGAGATGTTTGGTTATGACATGTCATGGGCTTCGTTTCATGTTCTGGAGGTCATGTCGTCCGCGAAGTATTTACAGAAACGCGCTGGGTACCTCGGAGCAGTCCAGAGTTTCAGACCAGATACAGAGGTGCTGATGCTAGCAACAAACCTTTTGAAAAAAGTCATAGACTCCCATTTCAATGAAGTGGCAACTTTCCGCTGACTAGCACATTACAGGATCTCGTGTCTCACAGTATACCGAATATGTCCCTTCCATTGATCACACTGCCAAACATCGCAACGACATCCCTCTCAATGTCTTTACTTCCAGACGTCTTATCTCGAATCTCTCATTCCCATTCCGTGGTGCGGAAGAAGGCTGTCATATGTCTCTATAGACTGGCTTTAGCTTACCCTGATGCACTCAAACTAGCATGGCCTAAGATCAAGGAGAGGCTCATGGATGATCAGGAGGACACCAGCGTTACTACGGCTGTGCTCAACGTTGTATGTGAATTAGGGTGGCGGAGGCCTCATGATTTTCTGCCACTTGCTCCAAGATTCTTTGAGCTGCTAGTAGATGGAGGTAATAATTGGATGGCCATCAAGATAATAAAGCTCGTACGTTGGTCCTCATGCTCAGATCACAGGTTTCTAACAGTCATAGTTTGCGACTTTGACGCCACTCGAACCGCGATTGATACGAAAGCTACACCGTCCATTAGTGAACATAATTCAAACGACCACGGCCATGTCATTACTCTATGAATGCATCAACGGTCTGATCCAGGGTGGTATACTTGACTTTGATGCCGGAATCGAAGAAAAGGATGAAATTGCAAGTCTGTGTGTTGGCAAACTTCGGGGCATGGTAGTTTCTGACTCGGATCCAAACCGTAAGCGCACCTCCTAGAACACGAATATGAGGACAATTGAACCAGAAGAGAGACTAACTGAGAAGCACAAGTCAAATATGTGGCGCTCCTAGCGTTCAACAAGATCGTGCTCACATATCCAGGCCTAGTGTCATTGCAACAGGATGTGATAATGCATTGCTTAGATGATGCCGATATATCCATCCGTCTCCAAGCGCTTGAGCTTGCAGCAAGAATGGTCACGAGTGATAGCCTACAGTCAATCGTTGGTCGGCTGGTTTCCCAGCTTATGGATTCCCGGTCACTCAAGAAGGAAAGCCACCTTGAACCTGGAGATGGGTACCCCGGATTGGAGAATAATGAGCAGCGAAGTGAATGGACGAATAAAGCGCCACTTATATTGCCGCCAGAATACAGGGTTCAAGTCCTACATCGCATTTTAGATATATGCTCCTTTGACAATTACTCAAACCTGACAGACTTCGAATGGTATGTGGACGTGCTGATACGGCTGGTAACCCTTCTTCCGGCAGACAGCGAAGACACCTTTATGACGAATGCTACACATAATGAGCAAGAAACTCTGTCTCAGAGCAACATAACGGACCGAATTGGCTCAGAGATACGGAATATTGCTGTCCGTGTTCGAGATGTTCGAATGGAAGCGACCAGGGCTGCGGAGTCTCTAATTCTCATTGACAACAGACAAACCCTGTTCTCTGGTGTATCAATGTCAAACAATAGTGCGCTAGGCCCCCTTGCATGGGTCGTTGGGGAGTATGCTCAATACCTCTCGTCGCCTAGACAGACTCTTTACTCGTTAATAGACGTGTCCAATGTTTCATTGCCAGCAAAAACTCTTTCCCTCTACGTCCAAGCTATACCGAAAATATTCACCCAAATCGTTTGCAGCGGCGGTCGAGACTGGAGCTCGAGCAAAAGGAGTGAGGTGGCACTCAATCTAGCCCGAATCATCGACTTCTTGGAAGCCCTAGGGGCACATCCAGATTTGAATGTGCAAGAAAGGGCCATCGAGTTCCTAGAGATTATGCGATTAGCAGCTGACGCCGCACATTCAGCGAGTCTAGATACCCACGATATCCCATTTTTGCTATCTTCAGTGATTCCTGGTCTTTTCGACGGCCTCGAGCTAAACCCGGTCTCTGTTAATGCCCAGAAGAAAGTCCAATCGCCAGGCGAGCTGCAGTTACACCAGACATTCAATGAAGATCTTTGGGCGCTCTTCAGTGATGATCATGGAAATTTTCATGAGAAAGAGAGTAAACTACCATTCCACGAATACTATCATAGTCGAGAGACATTTGTCCCGGATAAGCCGGGCATGGACAGCACATCAGATGATTTGCAACTGATGCCATTTGCGACCACCGGACTCGATCATCTTGAGGATCAGGCCGCCCTCGCAAGGCGCAAACACTACCGAAAAGAGCGCACTCGAGATGACCCATTCTACATTGGAACCGAAGATGCGTGGACCGCTATATCTGAGCCATCCCGGCCCCAATTGCAGATCTCGGACGAAGGCGAGCTAAACATTGACGCCATTCCTATCATTGATCTCAAATTGAGTGAAACGAGAGAACGACATAGCGATCACATGTCTTCTCCCCCGCCTGAAGAGACCCAGTCCACGGCCGGATCACGACTTAGAAGATATCATGTAATCCCGGATGAGATGATCGGACACGAAGAGGAGCTTGGTGTCAAAGACACTAACTCCCTCAACAAATTGAATCGGTCACCGCTTTTAGTGGATTCCAGCGGTTTACAACACCTCACTTTAGGGGGGGAGGAGGCACCCTCAGGATACACCCGAAGCGTTGCAAGGACCGAGGATGATGCGGAAATGGCCAAGGCAATGCAGCAAGTAGAAAGGTTCCGACTGGAATTGCAAAGGGAGTCAGAGCGGGTCCATCCAACAGGAGTTCCCTCCGAGGGAACATTGGTCAAAAAGAAGAAACGGGTAAAGAAGACTACGATCCCTGTTTCTCGGGATAGTGGACAGAGGCATGAATTAGTTGTAGATGGAAATAGCCAGCGCAAGCCGAAGAAGAAGAGGGCCAAGAATCATGGGGTGGTGATGTCTCCTTGAGGATGACTGTCAATCAATATAACTTGAAATTAAGAGACATAAATTCAGGTAGTCACCATAGTAGTGTCTAATCGAAGTTCCGCACATGCGACCTGCGCTTTTCACGGCATGACAAATAACAAGATACCAAAACGTCGGTAGCACGCAAAACAAGAGACTTGGGATATCAGTTAGGTGCATCACTATTATCGCCGCCGCTGTTTTTGAAAGCAACTTAAACGGTCTTTACAAGCTTTCCTGGTTTCAGAGAATTAAGCGGCTGACGCTTGCGACGATGGTGGACCAAAGCTTCGGTACGATCCCCAGAACCTCAAGGAAGATTCCTCCACAGACAACGAACGCGAGAATGGCTGTTCAGAGGTTAGCCTTGGTTACTGAGGTGGCCGTAAAGCAGTTCGCAACATACCCACCCACACAGTGGACACAGGCGACCTTGGAGTCTGCTTTGACTTGACCACTGTCTTGCCTTTACCACGCTTTGCAGATTCCTGCTTCGCGTACCTTTCGTTGGCCTTCCTTTGCTGTGGTGTTTGAGCCTAGGCATTCAGTCAATATATTGTAGCTCAACATTTGAAGGCGATCGGGGCTAGATGAACTACCATGACTGTCTGCCTTGTGTGCACGAAACCAATTGATATAGGACTACTGTGCCTGTAAGGAAAGTAGCGAACTTGGGAGTACTATAGACACATAGAAAGTAACGAGACGATTCTTAGCGACTCCAGAAGTACGTACGTCGCAGCTGTAGGTGATTATTAGCTTTACAAAAGGCCACGTTGTACCAAAACACTCCGTATGTGCTGGAAAGTCAACCACATACTTAGCTGAGTAATCCTACCAGTCTTGTGCAAATAGGGGTAGCTCAGCTCTGACAGTCTCAGGGTTTAGTTTAGTCTAGCATATCAATGCTTGGTTCTGTGTCTACGGAGTGTATGTATGTGTATTTTACTATTTTGATAACTGGCTATATACATGCATTGCTTTACTATGCATATGTTTTTGTTAGTATAGTAATTAAGTAATCTTCCTATGATTAGATTCCTCCTTTTTAGAGTAACGTAAACCACAATCACGCTGTCTGTACAATGGTGCAGTCCATCTTGTAATGTCATACAAGATTTATCTTTTTTTATTTCTTTTTTTATTTATTTTTCATAATTCCTTTAGTCTATGTATCTAGTAGAACATAAACTAGAATAAAAAGCTTTATTAAAATAATCAGAAATATTAAAAATATTGAAACCTCAAAAATCATCATTTCTACTAGCTAGTAGCTCCTTTAATTTTAATATAAATAAATTTATTATCTATCATCTCCAGATAAGTAGTAATGTAATAACAATAAATATAAATACTCTAATATTACTAATAATTATGATTTTAAATTATATTTTTTTTATTAACTATAAAGAAATCTCTAGAAATTATTTTATACACATATTTTTATATGATAGTCAGGACCTGGGTCTATTTATTATGATATATTTTAAGATTTCAAATTAAAAATACATATTAAATAAAAATCATATATTAGATAATTAAAGTCATGTATTAGAGCAGGGCAACCGGCTTATAATAACCCAGCAGGTTATATAAGTAATACAGAGTTATAAATCATGTAAATTAAATAAGATTATATGTTTAATTTCTATATTATATTTTACTAGCTTTTCTAGTATTACAAAAAAATAACAATCAGTTTTGAATAGAATAATAACTAGTATTTATATTATATGATTAGATTCATTATATTTTCTATACTATTTTAACAGTTCTGATTATATAATTATTCTTATCTAGTTTTTGTAGAATATTTATGAATAAAATCTAGAGATATATATTGAATATTTCTAGAAATACTTATTTGATTAGAGTAATATTTATTATAAAATAAATTTTAGAATAATATCTAAGTCAGGCATCTTATAAAATAAAGTCTGATATATAATTTTATACGTTTTTTATATAGTAATTTATATATTATATATAAAAGATAACACTAATTAAACTAGTAATATTAATCTTAGAAAGAATATTTTTAGAATAATCTAGCTTTTTTCAATTATTAACTAGAACATTATCATTATATAAATTATATATAATAAATTTAAATATAAATTTCAATTTCAAAGATTTTTGAATGTAAGTTTATTTTATTAATCATTGAAATTTCTATATAAGTTTATTTTTTAAATTTTATTTGTAATATATAATTCTTTATATTTTAGCAGTTATCTAATTCGTTAGATACTGAGTTATATAGAATTCTTTATCATTTTTTCTTTGAATATATATATTTATATTATCTTTATGGTATTTTTATTTTTTTTTACTTATACCTTTGTCAATATATTTTGAATAAAATTATTATATGATCTGCTTTTTAAAATTATTTTACTAGCTATCTTCATAAGTATTAATATAAAGTAAAATATCATAATATCAATATCATTTAATAATATAATATGTACACCCAGGCAGGATATATATATAATAAAAAAATTTCTTAAAATAAACTTTAATTAATGATTATTTAATTTTACTGTTACAGTACAGGCACTTTAATAGACTAAAGAATAAACTATAGAATATTTTATGTAGTATTAATAAAGATTTTGTAATTATTTTTTTATATATAATTTATTTTTTTAGGAGCAGCAGTTCTAGATCAAATTTAATAATTCAATTGATTAATAATTATAATTTAGTATTTTAGTAGTTATATTCTAGCACAGCTTATATTAAGTAATATGATTTAAAATTATTTATAAATAAACATTTACTGCGGGTGTTTATCTTTTCAAATTTATTTTTTTAGAAATAATTATATAGCTATGTAAAAATAGGTTTGTAAAATCTATATATATATATATATATAATTATTTATACTATATAATTATTCAACTATAATTTTTAAATTGTTATTGTACTAAGATCTTAAATTTGTTTTTATTAAAAATTTATATTATAATTGAAAGACTCTCCCAGTAGTTTGTCTGTAATATATTAGATTATAATATTTCTATAAATAATTACTATTAATATTATCATTATTAAGAAAACTAAGATTTAAAAGATTCTTGCTTTTATTTTTATTTTGATTTATATGTTTATTATTAAGTTATTATTAATCTTTATGAAAAAGAAAGATATATTCTGGTAAAATTATTTATATATATTATTTGAATATTCTAAGATAAGTTTTATTTATTATTTTAAAATTAAAAATTAGATTATTTTTGGGTGACTTTAATTATTATTATGATAATTTTTATCTAAATGATCATGATTTTCTTTTCTATTTTTGAGTAGACTCTAACAATATAATATTAATAATTAGATTCTCAGCTAGATAAAATAATAATAATATTTTATATATTGATTTTAATAATGTTAAACAGTTTACTCAAGACTTATTCAATATATAATATTGAATTGGTAGATTATTAAAAAGTCCGGTAATATAATTTAATATTCAATTTTGTTTATGACTTATTTCTAGACATAGTTTTTATATCTATTAGATCTAGTCAAAGATATAATTCTATCATTATAAGAAATATAATGAATATAATTCTTATTAATACTATTTTTTAAAATAATTAATATTTCATAAATTTTTATATAATACGTACATGCCTCAGAGTATATAAATATATATATATATATATATATATATATATATATATATATTAATAAATTTAATATTTATAATATCAAAATTATTATTAAATAAGACTTTTGTATAGATAACCTAGCTATTGATATAATTAAAATTAAATTGTATTATTAATATATATAAATATATCTAATAAAATTATTTTTTTCTATGGTCTTGTCCAGCTGATATATATATAATATTTATTTATATAATAAACTAGTAATGAATGTTAGTAATGAATAAATACCCTAGTTTGATGTATAATAGGATGTCTGGAAAATACTTTTTTAATTATATTAATAAATATATTAATAATAATTATAAGATATTTATAATATTAAAAAATTATATTTACTTCCAGGACTTTGACCTAGAGAAATTATATATACATAATATAAAATATATTATTATTTCATAGAATTCTTATAATTAAATTTTATAATTTAAGATTTTGAAGTCTTTACAGACTGTAATACTTTCATTGATTTAATTAATTGAATTCTAACTTCTGTAACATAATAATAGTTCGACTGCTATATTAAATTTTATAAATATATGATGTTAGATTCTTTATTAGGAGTTCTAGCTTGGCTGGAATTATAATTTTAATAAAAATAAATAAGTTAACCTAGTAATACTATTTTCAACATATATTTCATTAAATCAATTAGATATATATGATTTAGAGAGTAATATAGGTTCTTATTTTGTTATTCTTGAAAATAAATATAATATTAAAATAATTATATAATCTCTATTTTTTAATATTATATGATGGATTTAATTAATCTAATTTAATTGACTTATTACAAGTACATGGTATTTTGGATTTTTATAAGATTTTCTATAATTATATTAAAAAAGAAAACTCTTTACTATTTCCATATAAATATAATTATAGTGTTTAGAAAATTTAAAATAATATTGTTTAGGAATTTATATTTATCATTACTCTGCTGAAAGTATTTATACTTATTTAAAAAACTCTAATTTATCTAAGAAATTCAAAAAAATCCTTTTTAGAGACTTGTATCTATTATTACTTTTTTTGAAAGTAGTTAAAATTATTGATATTATCTAGTAAGATATTTACTTAAACATATAGATCCTTGTATATAATTAATTTAAATATTTGTAATTATATAATATTTGTAGCAGTTTTTTATAATATTGTAACTATATAATATTATAAAATACTAAAAATAATATAGATAATCTTAGAGAATAGTTAAATATAACTTTTCAAGGATTTTGACCCGCCTTGGTGGGCATGCTTTTGCAGGGGTGCTGGTTCTGGCTTATTTATTTTTTTATCATAATACTTACTGAAAGAATAATAAAGGCTTTTTTCCCTAAATATAAATATAAAAAACTTGATAAAAATTAAAAATATTATATATTTCTTTAGAAAATTAAATAATAAAAAAATATTTAATATATTTGTAAAAGTATATATATAGACTTATAAAGGTTAAAATACTTAAAATTTTTTATTTGAGTATTTTTAATACTATCTATATTACTTCTTTAATATGTTTTAATATTATATAATTCTAATATTATAAGGATCTACTAGAGTAATAATATTACTCAAATAATCAGATTACTTATAAAAATTTGTATATATACTGTAGTTATACTTATAAAAGAGAAAAAATAATTTTAATATAATTATAAAAGATTTTATAGAAGTTAAAAATACCGTATACTTATAATAAGCTGATTAAATCAAATTAATTAAATTTATCATAGTTCTGGAGAGTAAGACATCTATTTTTATATTTTTTATATTATATTTATATTTAAAAAATAATAAGATAAGAATTTATATTACTTTTTAGATTATATATATCTAACTAGTTTAATAAAAATATATACTAAAAATTGTATTAATCTGATTTAATTAATTCTTATAAAAATATTAATTTTAATTAAACTAGAATCTCTAGTAGAGGACCTGGAACTATATATATAAAAAGTTTTGAATATAATAATCTAATTATTTGAATATGAAAATCAGAACTTAATTAATTAAATTAATAAAAATATTATTATCTGCAGAGACTTCAAGATCTTAAGTTATAAAATTATAAATATATATATATATATATATATATTTAAACAGTAATATACTCTTTTTTTTATATAATATAAAAAATATAAAATATTTTATATATAATTACTCACTGAATCAAGGCCCTGGAAATAAATATAATACATAATAAATATTATAAATATATTATAATTTTTATTAATATAAATATTAATTTAACTGGGAAAAGTAACTTTTGAAAATATTAGTATAAATAGATTAAATATTTACTTATTATTAATATTTACTGCTAGATTATTATATCAAAAAATATTATATATATCAGCTGGATAAGATCTTAATAAATTATTTAAAAATTTTATTTTTTTATATTAATAATAAAATTTAATAATGATAATGTTAATATTATAATTTATAACCAGAACTAGTATATTCTATAATATTTTAAATATTAAAATTATACATATGTATATAAATATTACCGCAAGCACCCGGTTTATATATATGATATAAAAAATTATAAAAATACTAACTGTTTTTATAAGAATATAATTAATAAAAATTATATAATATTATATCTTTTATAATGAAAAATACTAGATTTTTAACTGTATCTGTAAATATAAGAAAATATATTTGAAGATAATTTATTAATAATATTAAATTATATTATAGACTTTTTATTAATTTCTTGATTAAATATTATATACAGAAAAAGTCATCTAATAAACTGGTTAATATTATTATGATTAATATATAGTATATAAAATTAGACAGATTTCTTTATAGCTGCGGGAATACAGTCTTTAAAAAAAGATAATATCAAAATAAGTTTATTAATTTATTATAATCTAGTAGATTATATAAATAATATACAGTCATAGATTTTATAAATTAAATAAAATTATATAATTTATTTTTATATTATATCTTACCAGCCTTTCTAATATTACAGGAGGCCAGTGATTAATTTAAAGCAGAATGATAGCTAGTATTTGTACATATAATTAAACTTATCAGATCTCCTACATTGCCCCTAACATATATATAAATTAAACTAAATTTTAAATCCCCCAGCAGGATTATATTCAATTAAATATTAATTTTTATTAATAAATCTTATAATTAAATATGGTTTATAATAGCTATATGATCTTAAAAATTTATAATAATAAAATTATAAATATAATATATAATTATATTTCATTTAAGTATTTACTAGATTTTTATATATGAATTAAGAATAATTCTTAGTAGGAAAAACTTCTTAATAATATAAAATAAAATTAAGAAACTTAGAAAAGCAAGAAAATAATTATAAAAAATCTAATAATTATAGAAAATAAAAAAATATTATAATAAATACAGAATACTTTTCTATTTGAGAAAGAATTTACTAAGATTATTAATGTAGAATTTATAACTCAAAGAATTAAGAAAGTTTGATCAAAGTTCATAAGATTTACTTAGATTTTTGATTATATTAATTTATAAGAATATTACTTATTCTTATCAAAGAAGTATAGATAAATTTATAATATATTCTATTTTCTTTTATTGAAATTATAAAAAAATTATAAAACTATTTTCAATACTAGAATTAAATAATAAATATAAATAAAAAATAAAAGAAACCAAAGATTATCAATAGTATAATAGTTAAGATTATTATTCAATTAAATAAAGAAATTAGTTAAGCATAACTAGTGAATCTTTATTAAATGTATGATGAATATATTAAAAATATTAAGAATTATTAGAAAATATACTAGAAATCTTGGTAATAATAACGATTTAATAAGAATATTATTAAAATATATTATATATCTAAAATAATATAAAGAATTCTTTATTGAAATTAATAAATATTCTATTCCTCTTATTCTTTATATGATAAGAATAATAAGATCAATAAGATTAATATTATAATTTATAATTATTAAACTAGTATAATTTTTTTATATTATAAACATTCTAATTATAAATATACATATTAATACTGCTGCAAGTACCCGGCCTGTGTATATTATAGTAAGAATTATAAAAGCTTTCATCATTTTTATAAAAATAGTATCATATTTCAATTAGATTTATAAATATAAAAGGATTTATTTAAGAATGATTTATTTATGATATTGAAATTTATTACTAGTATTTCTATTAACTTCTGGTCAGGTATTATATATAAAACGTTTTCTTAATAAATTGTTTAATATTATTATAACTAATACATAAAATACTACTATTATTTTATATAATTAAGAATCTAGTTAATTATATTATATAAAATAAAACTAAGCGTGCTCAGAAATTAGAAAGATGATTATTTAGAATAAAAATTATAAAATTTGCTAGAATCAATCATGAATCAAATAATTCTATATTAAGTAATTCTATATAAATCTTAGAATATTAGAGAAAATCAGTCTTAGAATATTATAAAAATTTATAAATAATCTTATTAAATAACACCTGTCTCTATTATCAAAATTAATAATGGTATAATAATATATATAAAAAATAAAACTTTATTATACAGGATCCCTGGCTGCCAAGGTTAATAAAATTAAATTATTATATCATTGCTGAAGTAATATAAAGTAATAGATAAATTAATTTAAATAAAATCAAATATAAGAATTTTCTAAGTCTTGATTTCAATAATAGTAATATTAATTATAATTATAATGATTATAACTTAATATATTACAAGTTAACTGCTAGAATAGTTTCTCTGGTTATAATATATTTTTTTTGATATGGATAAACTATAAAATCTTAATATAATAACTATCCAGAAACTATAATTAAAATTATTATGTCTTATAAACAATTGCATATATATATATAGAGAGAGAGAGAGATTCAGAATTACAGAGCTGCTTTTATATGGCTATATAATCTACTTTCATAAATACATTTAAAAAACATTATCCTGGATTTACTTTTTTATAAATAAAGGAATGAATTTAAAGATATAATTTATTTAATTTTCTTTCGATATTTTAATTCTTCAGAGCCTTGTTAAGAATAAGATTATTTATATATATAATGTTTATAATCTTAAATTATAGGAAAATATTTTAATATTAGAACATTTTCATAAAACTATAAATATCTATAGTATCTGGTTATTAAAAATTTCAATTTATATCATCTAATATAAATTATGCTAAAATATAATCATTAAAATTTTAAAATAAAGTTATGAGTTAATTTCATTATTAAATTTCTACTTTTCTTAAAAAGATAATTTTATCTGAAAAGAATAATTATAAGATTATCATTAATTTTAAAAATATATATTCTGCCTGGGTGTAATTATTATATCATTTAAATAATATTAATATTCATAAAAATAACTAGTAAAATAATTCTAAAAAATAGATTATATAATTATTATAAATATATTAATAAAATCAAGCTGACAAAGGAGAAGATAAAAAGAGTAAAACAATAATATATGTATATATAAAGATTTTATATAGATAAATATTTAATAAATAACTACTAAAACATCAAAATCATTATATTATAAATAAATTGAAAAAAATTAAGTTTATATAGGATTTCTAGCAGCCTGTATAATAAATATAAACTAAAAATTATCTCAATAATATAAATAATGCTCTAATAGTTAATTTAAAAAAGAAAATCGAACTATTTAAAAAATTTAATTTCTTAAGATTAGTATAATCTGCGTAATATTATAAAATATTGTCATTTATTATTATTATATATATTATAGATCATTTTCAAGAGATATATAAAATTATATATTAAGTTATATCTTGCAAGATATTTAATCTAAATTTTATTTTAAATTTAAAAATTATTAAAAATATATAATATATACCTGGATTACAGGTACTATTTTTTTACTTTTATATATTAATTATAATCAAGTAATATAAGCCAGACAAAGATAATTATATTAATCTAAAAGCTTATTATTTTATGATATTATTGAATATAATTAGTAAAGTTTTTAAATATTTTTACTATACGCCTCAGCTATCTAGTTAAATATTATAAGTTTTTGTTATGAAGATATATAAAGAATATTAAAAATATTTTTATAGATATATAGTATTTTTTCTAGAAAAAATCCATGCCGCCTGGTAAAATAGATATTTTAGTATAATTTTTTTGATTTCTAAAATATTCAGAAGTTATAATAATATTTTATATCTATTTAATATATAATCGTTAAAAATAGTAGGTATCTCTAGTATTTATTAATTAAATGTAAATTTCTTCTAATAACTAATAATTTTATAAGGCTCTTTATCATATTTTATAATTCATTTATTTTATAATATCAATTTTTAAAATAATGATATTAGTCTTTTCTTAACTAAATGTATAAATAATATTTATATTCTTATCTAGAATCTTATTATAAAAGATAATTATTCTTTAACACACGCATGAATATATAGAATAATAAAAATAAATAAATTAAAATTCTTATTTATTAAATATAGTCTAATCTATCTAATCAAATAATATACTTATATATTATTTATCTATAATCCCTGTATCATAGAACTTAGCTACTTAATTTTATTTATAAAAGATTAACACCAAATATACAAAGCAAATCTGCTATTTTGATACTTATTTTGATTTAATTAATTAGAAAGAGTTTATTAAAACCAATTATAAATCAAAATAATTAATTTAGTCTTAATTCTATCTTTACTTACTAGCTTGATATAAGAGACATTTATCTTAAATTTCTTATTTATATATATATAATATATATATATTATTTTTAATTTCTTTATTCTTATACAGCTGCTTTATATAGCCTGATAAAATATAAAAAACTTATAAAAAACTTATAAAAATGAATATTTATAAAACTATAAGTGTTATTTAATATTATACATTCTACTAGATTACTAAGACTTTATATAATATTTTATATAATCTTTAGGATCTGTTTCTATATTATATTTTTTAATTTATTTTTGAATAAATTAACAAAAACAGCTCCTTACAGATTCTGGTATCATTATTTTATTGTATATTCTATAATATATATAATTAATAATTAACTATAAGAAAAATCTAAATGAAATGTATTAATTCTTATAAAGATTTGAAATAAATCTTATTCAATTTCTAGATAAAGATCTAGTAGATTATTTAATATTTAAATTATTAATTCTATGATAGTTCTTTGTTAATAAAATTTATTATAAATAAAGATCTTAAATATATAAAAAATATTTGAAAAAAATCAATATTAACTAATACTTATGATCCAAGATCCCTGTACAAGGCTATAACAATAATAATAATTATAGAGATGATATTGATATAATAATTATTACAGGATTTTATATAGTTAGCTACTTTATACATTTTGATGTAATATACATAATATTTATCTAAAGAACTTATTAGTATTAAGGTAATTTTAATTTTATTAAGTGATTTTATTGTATAAATTAAATTAATATCTATATTATCTGAAGTATATAATCTAATTATTTCTAGTAATGATTAGATTGCTATCCAGGCCTGTATTAAATTTCTTTAATTATTATTTTTATTAAATTAATATATTTACAAAGTATTAATTATTTTAGAAAAAAAATTCAATATTATAATTTATAATCTTTGTTGCAGTGGCTTTCCGGTCATAAAAAAGATTTTCAATAATAAATATATATTTTATTTTATTAGTACTGGTGCTGAGAATACTGCTTAAAAAAGAATTATTAATTAGTTAATTTTATTTTTGATAAATTAAATATATATCAAGATTTCAGCTGATAAAATATAAAAAATGTAGTAAATAATTGTATTTATAGCTTATATATTAAAGATTCTTTTTAGAATCTATTTCTAAAATACCAATTTACATATAAATATATATAAGATATGGAGCTCTATCCTGATATATATATAAATTGAAAATATTACTTTTATCAACTATTTTAATATTATTAAAGTATAGAATTAACCAGATATTTACACTATTATTTTTAAATATATTTTATTTTTATATATATCACACAAGCATATATATAAAAATATTTGAATATTTTTATAAGTAATCATGAATAAGTACTAAGAATTAAATTCATTAGTCTGGCCTGTAAAGCAGTAAAGTTTATTATTAAATTTTAAAATAATTCAGATCTTAGTGAAATACTAGAAAATAATAATAATAATAATTATAATAATACCCCCCTGCTAGCTATATAGAACAAAATGTTATAACAAAAATATGTACTTGAAATATTTACTATAATTAAAAGGTCTCATGAATCTTTCTAGTATTGAATAAATTTAATAAATATAATCTTAAATAAATATAATAAGTTTTATATAAATTAAAGCTCTTCCTGATCGATGTAGATAAATTAATATATTTTAAAATAAACATTAAGGAATATGAAAATTACATGTATTTTATACATATAAATATTTATATATATATATATTATATAGCTCTAGATATAAATAATTTTTTTAAATATATAAATAATATAATACTTTATTAGTGGATTAATATTATTTATTAATTAGCTGTAGGGCTGTTATAAGTACATATAAATAAATTAATCAATTAAATATTTAATTAAATAATTAATTAATATATCTTAAAAATTTAGAATATAATAAATTAGTATTCTTATAAAAGCAAGTCTATTAGAATTCTCTAAGAATTATGATTCTTGAAATGCTATATTTAATAACTTTCATAATTATTTACATCATTTTTTCAGTATTTTTATATTATAAAAATATATTAAAAAAGCTATATAATTTTAAATAATTAAATCAATTATATATAAGAATTTACATGTTCAAATAAATACTTTATGAAATAGTATTGATAATTTTAAATATTAATATTACTAAATAAATAATTATGGATATAAATCTTCAAAAAATATTTTTATTTTTAAATTGATTGATTGATTTATTCATACACGCTAATGTCAGCCGTACAGCTGAGTGGCAGATGGTATTGATCTAGCAGGCAGGCAATGCACTGCCAAAGTAGCTGGAAGTATTACTTATATCTAGAGCCACATAATATCTATATTTATATATATAAAATACTTATAATTCTCTAAACCTTTTTATACTTATCTCTATACATCATGGCCATGTAAATCAAAGAGAATTTTAATCTATATAAAAATCTTATACCTGCCTGAGGTCCTGTTTACTAGATATATTTATATTTTGATATAAGATTTATTCAGCTATATTAAGTTTTCTTAAATAAATATTTCTACTGTAGTATCTTATTTTATATAATTAGCAGGAAAAACATTAGTATCAGAAATAATATATAGAAAAATAAGATTATTATTATTTTATAAAGAAAATTTATTTTTATTTTCTAATATCTTATTTAATAAGATCCTGAATTAGCCTAGGATCTATATTATAATAATAAATTATATTATTTTATAAGCTAAATTAATAAGTCTGATTCCTAGTGTTTATCTATAATTATCTATAAAATATTTAAGAATTCTTATGTACATATGCCTGTGTATTATATACATAAAGATAAAATATATCAAATTAATTATGTATTATTTCATATAAGTATTTAATTAATTCCATAACTTTAATTATATAAAATAAACTGATAAAAATGATTTTTCTAGTCTGTATTTATATAAGAAGAGAGTTCTATATTTAATATAAATTTATATATAAAATAAATAATTTAAAAAAAAATTTGTAAAATATATATATATAGATTGATTATTTATTAAATACGAAATATATTATTAGCTAGGATAGTAAGACATGTATAACAGATTAAAAATAAAATTAGTTTATTAATATATTTATTACTAGGAATTCCTTTATAATCAGAAAGCTATTATAAAAAAATTTTAATTAAAATCCCTAAATCAGTTAATACATGTGATAATACTATATAAAATATATTAATCTAATTAATAATAATTTGAAAAGATTAATACAGGCCTGGATAATAATCTAATCATTAATAAAGAGATTTTACTTATATATTTTTTAAAAATACCGGAACCAATAAGATAAGAGTATTATAATTATTAATAATATAATTTACAAAATATAATTATTTAATAAAAGCTAGAATTATATTGTTGTTAATAAGTTCTTTAATATATACTGTATATATTCTATTAAAGTCTATAGAATAATAAAATATATAAAATTCTATGGTTATTACTATTCTAATATTACTTCTGTAGCTGTTATTATTTATATAATAAACTGCTAATACTATTTAAAATTTTTTTTCAAATTTATAATCTCTGTCTACAGCAGGCTCTATTAAAAAAAAAGTATTATCATAAAATTAATAATTTTGAGAATAAATAAATTTACTAGACTTTTATAGATTAAATGTTATTTATTATAAATCTTTATAAAAAAATAAAAAAGAAAGTATCAGATCTTAAGATTTTTTTTATAATTAATTATTAGTTATATATATTATAAAATATTTAATATAATAAAAATATTAAGATCTACAGGCAGTTATTCTCAATAGCTTATTCAAAAATAAAATAAAAAAATATAATATAGAGACAGACCTCAAGAATTCTATAAAATATTATATAAAAATTCTTATGATCTAGTAAAGTATATAATATTAAATATTTTCTATAATTATAATAATATCAGATATTATGTTTTAAAAAATTTTATATTTTATAAACCATGTGAAACAGCTGTATAAGAATTACTAAAATAAGATTATAATATATATACATTAAAAATTTAAAATAAGTATTAAAAATAATAAAATTTCATACCAATTTCAATTCTAATATTTTATAAAACAGTCAATCAAGTTCCATAATACAAAAATAATAAATAGATAATATAAAAATATATTACTAAATTAGATAAATCAGACTATATTTGAGAGATAAAAGTTTAAATATATATATTTATTTTTATTATTTAGCATATTCATGTACAGATTAAAGTTAAAGGAGATTAATATAAATACTTAGATTCTAGATAAGAATATAAATATTATTTATCTATTTAATCAAAAAAAGATTCCTGTCATTACCACTAAGCAGATTAATATTATTAAATAAATAAAATATAAAAAATAATGAAGAATTTATAGAATATTAATTATAATTTAATATTTTTCAGAAATATTCTCCAGTATAAGAATAATTGTATATTGAACTTTTCAAAGCTTTAGATTTGATTAATAAGTACTCGAGATATCTATGACTTTCAAGCATTATATAATAAATATAAATATAAGATATTATTATAAGTGTATTTTAATAATTAAAAATATTATAAAATATTTATTCTACCAGGCAGCATAAATCCTTTTTTATTGATTGATTGATTGATTTATTCATACACTTATATAAGCCTTACGGCCGAGTAGTAGATGGTATTAATCTAGCACTCAGGCAACTGCCA